CCTGTGCATTTATGCACACAGCTATTTGAAATTCAAATTCACCGGATTTTTTAGGTTTTCTCGTTTTTTCCGTGAGGTTTTTAGGGACCACAACCCAGATGACATCTACTCTTTTTTTATAATTATATGACCACAAAAGAGCCCTCGCTAAAATTCACTTTGGAAAGGGAAGTGAGTAACCAACTTTTTCATCCTCAGACATTGACGTGATGTTCACAAAATCGATAAATATGATGATGGTAACTCCGTATAAGCAATCGAACAGAAACAAGTATTTATAACAAAGCTTTATTATTCCTCACAAACATCCACAAGACATTTTGTTTTACAAACTTTCTCGTAAAACTCTGCAGAGAGTTTCGCTGTCCTAGTTCTATTGGGGCTGTCGAAATCGACTTGATAAATTCCATATTTTATACTGAAAAACCAATATTTCATCTTTAATAGTCTGGAATGAAAAATAATACTCACGTATATCCGCTTGTCCATTCAAGGTTATCTATAATGCTCCACAGGGTGTATCCGAAAACTTTGACCTTATCTTCGATCATTGCATCTCTTATGTGGCTCAGGTATTCCTGCAGATGAGAATTATCTCAGTTCAGAATTAACTAGAGAAAAAGTACTGATGACGACAAATAATTTTTAATTCTATGGTAATTTCTATGTTGGTGCTACTGTTGATTTACTCCCAAAAATTCCACGAAACGATTAAATTTTATGTTCATTGAGATTAATTTTCACTGACTATATATACAGGGTGTTTCCTGATTACGGTACGAAACTTCAGAGGGTGATTCGTCAGGTCGTTTTAAGAAAATCATAAATAAGAAATCATAAATATCATAAAACCGATTTGGTTGAAATTTGCTAGTTATTTGAAGTAATACGGCGGACATCTAGCCCTAACTTTTATTTGGATTCTTTTTCTTCATTAATCAACTCAATCAACATTCAGTTAAATATTCAGTTAAAATCAGTTAAATATTTCATTACAGGAATTACTATTTTATGTGCTATTTTGAATTCACCAAAAAGTCGAGAATTACACCTAAGCATAGAATATGCTTATATTGTACCTATTCTCTCAATCTGAATGAATCCTTACGACTACAGAAAACAAAACAAAACGTTTTCATATTATTGGTTATATAATATATTGGAGAGAGAAGGTAAATGCAATGGACCAAAGAGAGGAGTGAGAGCGGGTATTTCATGAATGAATAAGCATTGTTAGA